CAAATGTACCATATAAATGTATACATGTATACTTGTGTATGTATATATTTTATATATATATATATATATATATATATATATATATATATATATTGTGTGTGTATATGTATGCATGTATGTATGTATGTATGTATGTATATATATGAATTTAACATTCTATGACCTCATGGAATTTCATGAGAAAAATCAAGAGAAGAAATATTGAAGAAGGTAGAGAAAAAATAAAATAAATTGTGTCTCTGAGCTTTTCAGCAATTTGGACTTACAGACTAATCTATGTTCAATGAATTACAACCTCATAGAATTAGTCACTTGTGAAATTTTTGTTAAATGATTCATTGAAATTTCAGTTAAATTTTAACCATCTAGCATCATTTTTACTTCATCTACCAAAGGTACACCTTCATTTTTTTCAGGAGAAAATGTAGTTTAATTTAAAATTAATCCTTAGAAACCAAACAAACAGACAAAAACAAAAGAAACAAAAAACAAAAACAAAAAAGCAACAACTTCAGAAGTTCTGAGCTTAGCGTAAAGGAGCATGGAGTCAAGAAAGCCCTGGAGTTCCATGTCTATAAATACTTTGAATTCTGTACTTCTATATTTCTTAGTAGATTAAGAATTTTTAAGTATTAAGAATTAAGGTATGAACCCTGGTATCATGACACGTTATAAAGCTCAAATAAGAAATGCACAGGTAAGAAAATGTGTGCGATAGCTTTCTGTTATTACTTTTATTAGAAGACATTTTGACTGGTTAGACCACACTGAGAAGTTTCCCTTCTTCCCTCAGTTTCAGCCTATATTCACTTCCAGTTTAGAAATTAGAATCTTATATGATTACTTTAATTTTATGTGCATTTTCTTCCTGTATGCATATTTCCAATCTTATGTATGCAAATAATGTCGCCTGGACTAAGAACAATTAATCACCTCATAAATTCTGTTAAATAATTGAATGTGAATTAGAGCTACCCTTGAATCATTATTAGAGTCTCTAAAATCATATTTATTTTACAAAAGATTGCATTTTCTCTGTTTAACTTTATTAAGTCAAAACAAATCAAGTGTACTATCTTGTTAAGTTCCCTAGCTTTCAAAGGTCTTCTAATATTTTACCATTCACAGAAATGTTCTTGTGGCATATAATACAGCTAGTATGCATGAGCTAATCCAATATCTGAGCTATTACTGACATATCATAATATGATGGTATTTGAGTCCAATGGTATATGCTTGTAATACCAGTAACATAGGAATCTGAGGCAAGAGAATCACAAATTTAAGGTCGCCTTGGCAATTTGGGAGACACTGTCTCAAAATACAAAATAAAAAGGATTTGGGTTGTATTTCAATGGTAAAGAACTCCTGGTAAAATTCAAAGTACTACAAAAAAGCAAATCAAAATGAAACAAATACAAAAACAATATGATGACATGTGCAATTCTAATATTTTTTTTTTATACTTTCTGTTACCTACTCTCTTTCAAGGTCTCTTTGCTGGGGACCAAAGAGATTCTAGAAAAGGTAAATAATTAAAATCCTGTGAATTTATGGCAATAATAGTTTTAAAAGCAAATTTTTTATTTTTTAGTTCATTTTTATTGACCTGATGTAAGCTCTCGAGATGGCTATATTGGGATATATTGTTCCTTTTCTGAGATATATGTATGTATATACATACATATATCAGACCACACCTAGAAGTATATATGGCAGTTAAAAGGCACACATCTGTTATCAAGTATTGTTATATTTGATAAGTCATACTTTTTAAAGTGTTTTATAAATACTAATTCACTTAATCTTTATCATTAATCCTATACAGTAATTACTACAATTGTTTTCATCTTTATAAGACAAAGCTGAGGAATTAATCCATTTAATTCCCAATGGATTAAAAATTGGGAAACAGGAGGAACCAGTTATCAAATTTCAATGGCCACAATCTATGCTCTATTATATCTATAAAGTGGAGGACAACGATATGGAAGACTGATGCACAACTTTGAAAACTAACATTTTCTTATACCTGTAGAAAAAAAATGGAGAACTTTGCATAAGTAGCACTAAATATTTGTGGCAGATGACAATTCCATGTAGAAAAGGCAGTATAAGATTCAAATACAAGTTTTGAAGTTCTCATACTCCTCTATGCTCTTATTGATTTAAAATAATATCTTTATTGTCACAGATAAGGCATTGCATTATTTGTCCCATTCACTATCTCATGTTTTTTATCACTTGCTTCTTGCTCAGTGTGCTATGTATACTCTCTGCTTATTTTTGCTCAAAAGCATTAATATTATTTGTATGGAAAGGTCTTAAAATTCCAAGCATGATTTGCTACTTTCATCCTTCTTTCAGAAGAGCTCTCTTCTCTATCTATATCAATAGTTTTTACTTTGAAACAAACAACCCAAACCCAGAGGCTAACAATAATCATTGTGGGTTGGTGGAAGTCAATGATTTTCCTGGGTCCCTGCATGGCTCATATCTACTTATTCGCCAGCAGGCCTATTCTAACCTGGGTTTTTCCCGAGGAACTTAACAGGGGCAGTTCTGTTCCAGCAGTTTAACTCAGTTATATCCTTCCCATGAAATGTCAGAAAAATCAGAGAGAAAGCCCAGTTTCAAGTAACTTTCAAGGACACAATCATAATCAAAGGAAAAATAAATATGCTTTATCTCTTTATGGGAAGATATGCAAGTCATGTGGCCAAGGATGTGGAAGAAGACAGAAATGAAATGAAGTGTAGGGATATAAGTTATTATTATAAACTGACAATTTTTCTATTTTCTTTTCTAGTTTTCTTTTTACAAATGTTTTCATTAGTGCATTATATGTAATAGTGAGCTTCACTTTTACACAATTGTATATGCAAGAAATAAATGTGCTTATATTCAGTCAAAAGCATTTCCTATTTCCCTTTCCATCTCCTCCCCCACATTCTCCTTCCTCTACTTTAATGATTTTTCTTATATTTATTTATAGTTTTGTTTAATTAGTGATTTATAGATATCCACAATAAGAAAAATTCACTGTGGCATATTCATATATAAGCATCACATAATTTGGTCAATTTCATTTGGTAGTTCCTCCCTTTTCACATCACTCCTCCATTCCCCTTTATCTTCTTCCACAATTCCACAATTGCATTAATATCCCTTTAGACTTCACAGGATCCTCCCCTGTTGTGTAGCTTCTGCATATGAGAGAAAATATTCAACACTTGATTTTCTGAGTCTGACTTATTTCATTTTGCATGATCGTCTCCTGCTTCATCAATTTACCAGCAAATGCCATATTTTTTTTTCTTCAGCCACTGTAACTATTTGAATTTGTAAGCATATGTGTGTTTGTATATGACCAAATTTGTTCTCTCTGAGAATAGGGATTTCTTTAATTACCATCAGTGCAGAGTTTCTGGTAAATGTTCCAAGTTCAAGCTCAGCACTGTAGCACACACCTGTAATCCCAGTAACTCAGGAAACTGAGGCAGGAGGATCGCCAAGTGTGAGGCCATCCTCATCAACTTTGTGAGGTCCTAAGGAACTTAGTGAGAACCTGTCTCAAAATTTTTAAAATTTTGAAAAGAATTGGAGATGTAGCTCCATGATAAAACACCCCAAAAGTTAAATCCCTGGTATATGTATGTATATATATATATATATATATATATATATATATATATATATATATATATATTCACATACACACACACTCAACAAACTAATATTGGTTGGTGTATGAAATGCTTGATTTAATTCTAGTAAGTAATCAGATGAGAGCATTCATAATACAAATTAAAATAAATGTATTCAATTATTCTCTCTTAACTTATACCATAATAAACTAGATTTAGAAAACAAGCTTAAAGGTCAGTTAGGAGAAAGGATAATTTTTAAATTAACCTCTGCAATACTCAAGGTGAAGCACAGTGTCAGGAAGAGTAGAAATATGGGGAATAGTTAAAGATAAATGGATGAGCAAAATAATAATGGAACAAATCAAGGTGGTACAAATGCTATAGGTATGCTGACAATGAAACTTCCAATTTTTAATATTTCTCATTTGGATGTTGTTGTATGGTGTAGAAATGTATTGTCATTTTTAATTTTGAAAAGTCAAGTGCTTTGGCCAAGATCACATGACTAGGAAGAGATGGAGGCAGGATTTGAATATGTATTTTTCAAATCTGAAGCCATTTTCTTTAAAGAACACAGTTTTGGTATTTGAGAATTGCAGACATATGATGGGATACATTTATATATGTTTAAGACTCAAAAATAAAAAAAAACACAGTGAATACTAGTGCACTGATCTGCTTGGGTTGCCATAACAAAATGACAGATGGGTGAATTAAACAGCACAAATTTATTTTATTACTGCTCTTAACATTAGAAGCCCCAGATAAAGATAGCCATATATTTGGTTTCTGGAGAGGATTCTCCTTGGGTTATTGGTAGTACTATTTTTTCTGTCCTCACATGGTTATTAAATGTGGTGTAGTAGAGAAAAATCTCATGCTTTCCTTAGAAGAACATGTGTCCTCAAAGTATTGGGGATAAACCTTATGAACTCATTTAACCTTAATTATCCTCCATAATACCTCTATAGCCAATAAAAGTATGTAGTCATATTTGGGGTGAGAACTTCAATCAACATAGGAAATTTTCAGGGGGATACAGTTCAGGCCTAAGAAGTGGAAACATAATTGATGGATCAAATCACAATATTTCAAAGACTTAAGTTGAAATTTTGGAAACATGCTTTAGTCCAGTGAAACATTTAGTGCATATTCATTCAGAATATTTCACTTTTTGCATACAGATCAAATGACCTTGCAAAATTATGTTTTAAACCTGAATTTGTAAATGAAATTTATAAAGTATTTTTTTCCTATATTTTATTCATTGGAAATGAATGACAGATACTTAAAATAGGCTGAGAGATTTTAGAATTCACTGAAAAGACTTGCTTTTCTTTTATGTTACAGGCCCAACAGCTTACTGATCTGGAACAAAAATTAGCTGTAGCCAAAAATGAACTAGAGAAAGCAGCTCTTGACAGGGTAAGTTTACATCTATGAGCCATCACACTTTGCTTTTTGAAAAAAAAAAATACTATAGTATGCTCATTGCTTTCTTTGATTTATTAATGCTGTTCCAGATGCTCTGCATATAAGACAGTTATAGAATTCATGAATATGTGATAGTCTCTATGGTCTCCATTTTTTTCCTTCTACAATATATTTACTGAAGTTTCAGGCTCTGTGAGTTCATGGCTTCGATTTTTAACTTATTGCTACATTTGTTATGTAACTCCATGAATAAACATATAGCACCAACTAAGATATTATGCATTAACATAACTCTGGATGAATGAGTTGTGAAGTAAATAGAAATAGTCATTGACATTCAATTGTTATAACTAGTTTTTAAAAAGGTCTTAGAATTTATGTACTGGGGAATATGCACAAGCACATTAAATGCATCAATGTTCATATTAAAAAGTGGGAGTAATTTAATTACTTATTTTTAGTAGAATTAATGTACAAAGTTCATATATTTTCTATAACGATATTTTGAAGGCAAAATATAAACTTAATGAATAAACCAACAATATATTTGTATCAACATTGATTCACATACAACATATAATGTTGAGTGAAAATTTTCAACATTATATGTACAGTATTTAACAATCATTCAAATACATGAACTATATGTTTTCTATTGTGTATCATAAAATCAGTTTAAAGGACAAGATATACATCAAATTCATAGAAGTAATCGCCTTTGGGAAAAGACTCAATAAAATTTACTAGGGATGCTTGCAAGAAGCACTTTTCAAACTCAAATGTTTTGATTTTGAATAAATGAATGGATAAAGAAAAATAATATTTAATACATACAGATGCATACATGTATGTTTTATATATTACATACATGTGTTATATATGGAGGGGGATGTACATTTGAGGTATGCAACATATGTGTATATTACATTTATGTATATGTTACAATTTTTGTGTCATAAAATTATGTAAAATATTGTATGTAGCGCATGTAAATTATATAATTAATGCAATATTATTAAACATTTAATTAGGAATTCTATTCCCTTGATATTTGTTAATTTGTTCTGTAGAATCAGCAAAATAATTTTTTTAATTTTAAGAAAATATGTTCTGTTTTCAAGAGCGTTCTATTTTGTGATTAATTAGTAGTCATTTTATTGAGAAAATTAAGCAAGCAAAATTAATGCACTTATAAAAATATATACAATATATTTATTTATACACAGTGTATTACTATAATTTTCCAAAGAAAGGAATGTGCCCCCTAATAACAAACTGGCTGGAAAATAGAAAGAAAATGGAATATTTAAATCTGGTTTTACCTTGAGCTTTGTTGATGTCTTTCATCAGCCACATGTTACTATGCCATGGTTTTGAAGGACCAGGCTAAGATTCCACTTCTCAGGGACTTTATTCATTTCCTCAGTATGGTATGACCAAACAAAGTTGGCTATCACAGCTAAGATAGCCAAATTGTCAAACAGGATATCTAGGCAGTGTCCTTTAGAGGGGCTACTAAGAGCATTTGTGAGTGCTGATGATATTCCTTTATAAGGCTTAGACCTCTGGGATCAATTAACATTTGAATGAGTAATTTGTTATCTTAACAACCTAACTTTTTTATTACTGCTGTATTTTAAATTAATTTATCTAAATAATTAATAATTTTAGGGGAGTCTGCTATTCTGTGGAGAAGATAAAATATAATTTATGAAAACTCTAGTTTTGTAAAGTTTGTGTTAGTTCATAGAAAAGAAGTGTACACTCATATAGACTAATCTCTGACCATATCCAACTCATGCTACATAACATTACTTTGTAAAAAGGCATTTGAAACTATAGAATCAGTGAAATCAGAAATTCAGAGGCGTCATGTAAACTTAAAGTTCAAGTAGACCAACTTAAAACAAAAATTTAAAAAAAAAAAACCTTTGTCATTTCTACCACCATCTTTATAATACGTTTTAGTCCTAAAAAACATTGAATTCTTATGATCTTGACATTCTGTTAGTTTTTATCATATCTGGTTATTGGATCAAACTGATATTACATTTTTTTCTGATTTGATTTCACAGAAGCTTTTCAGTTAGTCATAAATTAATAGCATTAAAATGTTTTTTCTTGTGCTAGGTATTATGGGAAATAGAAAATATTTGATATCTGATTTTGACTCCCACATTTCTCATAATTTCCTGATCATGAACAATTAGTAAATAATTATATACTGAGTCATAAGACAATAGAATCACAGAAAATGTAAGTATACTTGGGTCACTTACAATGATATAGTCACAAAACCCTTCACTGGTACATTATAATTGGGCCTGTGTCATTAAACCCAGGGTTAAGGTAGAGTTGCTTCTTCATCTTTAGGTATGTTTTTTCCTTCTTCCCAATTTCATTCTCTTACATATGCATTTATGTACCCAGCCCATACCATGCCACAGTCTGGATTTAAGATGGGAGTCTGCATGTTGTATTGCTTAAATAATGATTCCCAGAATCTTTCTCCCTATCTTCAAACTAAAACTTTTTTTTTTTTTTTTTTTTTTTTGCTGAATTACCATGTTCAAATCCCTCAAACTCTTTAAATTTCTCTGGGATCAATAATACAAAGTACTTTATAAAGGTGATGGGAGATTTTTATGCATTAGAAAAGTAAAGTGCTTTGAACAATACCTATCACATGCAAAACAGTCATTATTATTATTAATGAATGAGCTCACAGAGCTTGTCTCTCTGTTAAAACAATTTCCCCCTTAACCATTAGGATTGAGTCACTCCTTTTATAGTGAACTATAAAAGTGTTTCATATTAGATGTTGAGTTCAACAAACCTCATGTAAGGTATGTATGAGGCACATAAACAGCAGTCATAAAGTCAAATAGAAATGTTGCTTATTTCAAAATGGATAAAAACCAGTTTAATGAGATTGCTCTTCACCTCTCTCCATCATCTTTATATGAGACTTTTTATATTATTCAGGTGCCTATCTCCTAAGAATGGTATATCTTGGCTTTAATTAAATACCTCAAAAATATTATAAAAACATTTTCAAACTCCAACTTGGTCCTCCTGACATATATAGTAAAAAAAAAAAAGTCTCAGTTTACTATTCTAATATAAGCAGCAATAACCTCAAAATCTAAAAATCAACCTTGAGGTTCCAAACAATCAATTATTTATTTGGCAATATCTTATGAACTATGGTCATCTTTCACAACTGGAATATAAAAATGGCCATAAGGAATACAAATCCCTCAACCTTTCATACCAAAAAAAGTTTGGATAGCATCCGAGTCTCAGAAAATTTTACCTAGGAAATCATACATTAATACAGATAAGATTTACCTATATTCTCAGGACAAAGTTGTCAAAAGGAGAAATCTTTTTGCAAAAGCATAGTATTTGGCTTATAGCCAAATTACAAGAAATTGTTATTATTTGAATACATAAATGAAGACATGACTTACCAAATAAATAAACATATTTTCATAGTATTTTCCAAGGGACTTGGGGACTACTAGAGCACAGATCCAAATATTTTGAGTACTCCTGGGATTGTAGAGTTGATTTGTGTCAGAAATAAAGTTGAGTATACATAAGTTTCAACTCTTCATGGTCTTTCTGAAGCCAGCAGCTGATATTACACCCTGATCTTTCTGAGATTGTGTTTTTATGTACAAGAGTTAAGATGAGCATGAATAGTTATAAATTGTCATTACTCTGAGATTAGATAGTAGGAGAACCATTATATTTCTAGGATGTATTTCATTGTCCCCAAACAAAATGCATTTTTAGGAGAAAAGCACTAATATATATTCACATGAAATATTACTTTTTAACTTTCTCACCATCATAAGATCACATATAACAGTTATTTCTTATGAACTTTCCATAGGATATAGTACACATATAAGTATTTTTAATATCTGTGATAATAATATAATTGTATTACCAAATGTGCTGGATAAAATAGAAATATTTCATTATTTCCTCATGTTAATAGGGCATTAGCCTCTACATTCTGAAGGATTTTCTTTACTTTTTTTAATTACAAATATTTTTTCAGTTGAAAACTGATGCTGCAGAAAAGCTTCCAACCCTCAAAGATATTTCAAAACTTGATGAACTCATAAACACATATGCAAGAAAATAAATTGAAATGATGTAAAGGCTAAGTAAGGCATAATATTAGGAAAGGTAATAGTGGCTTTAAGGAAGGCATATTCTTAGAAAGGGTACTCAAGATCTGTTTCCTAAAAGATAAACTGTGAGTTAAGTATGTGAGCATTTTCAGTTAAATGTTCCAAAGTGGACCCTTGCGTAAGGCATCTGCAGCTGGGGATATTTGAGGGGCTATAAACAAAGGATACCAAGACAAGCAGAGGGGTATAGTTAAGAAATTTGTATCATAATAGCATATAGAAAAGTGGTTTGATGCAGTGAGTGCAAAGACAGCACAAACAAGATTGACTTTGGAAGAGAATAGGTTTTAGGATCTAGAGTAAATTACACTATATATGATGTACATCACAGTGCATTAAGGGACATCCTGTCCTAGCGAAATTTCAAAGTGAGCAGTAGCCTACAGCTTTAAGACAGACTTCAGTTAGCAGTATAAATGAAAATGCAATGACTTTTATATGTATTGTAAAATTGTTGGGTCCTGTTCATTGAACCTCATCGAGCCAAATATGAGTAATATCAACAACATGTCCTGTTAAACGTTAAGAGGCACTGATTAGGGGTCATATAGAAAGTGGTCAAATCAGGGCAGTTTGCTCGCAGAAATCCATAATCTTTGGCAAAAAATCCTGCAACACATTCAAGAAATTGTACCAAATTCCAGATGAAAGGTCTGATGCAGGCTTGTGACCCAAGGAAAGAAAACTAGAATGTAAAACATTAAGAATAGGTTAAAATATGAAGGAAAGCTAGCTTCCCAGAATGATAGAAAAAGGAAGAGGTGGAGAGCACATTTGATAATGTTTACATTGCTAACCTGGGGTTATTCTAGCAAGGTCAAGAGACCTGTGGAAACAGGTGAGTGCATCAATATTTAGGCACCCAAATTTAATGTATATGTGCATCCCTTTCAATGTTCCTTTAAAATTTTTGTTTTGCTCAAACAATATTTACTAAAGATCAATGTTTGAATCAGTTTATACTATTCATTAATTTTAGCAACTGAGTTCCATTATTGCTTACCTTTAGAGAGTTGTATATTATGTCAACATATACTTTAAAACTTCCATAGACCAAAGTTTTAAATAAATAGTGCTATGAGAAAACAAAATATGAGTACAGTGAGCACAACAAACATCATTGCTTCCTGCATAGTTAAGCATTCAAATTCAATATTTCAAAGCCATAAAATCTTTGGTTCTTGGTCAAGATATGTCTGATTCAGTCATTTTTTTTTCTTTTTCCCTGTCTCTTGTTAGCATGCAAAGGAGAAAATATATTTAAATTGCTCACAGCCATGTACATTATTTAGCTCCTGACATGGCATTCAATGCCATCATCTCCTAGTATGTCCCCAGAGAAGAAAAGGGTCAGTTGGGATTGCAACAAAAAACAAGTAGATCAGAAAATCTGATTATGACTTCTTTTCCACTTGTTTTTTTTTTTTAATAACTTGTAAATTTTCTTCACTAATGTACAGAAACACTACTTTCAAGTAACTTTTAAGTTTTTTATTTAAGATGTTTTTGAGACCCTGTAGTATCAGGGATTATGCTGAGTTCTGTCAAACATATACAAGAGTGCATATACTTAAAAATCACAATTATTGAAAAAAAATATGAAGAAAGCAAACAAAATCAGTTGTGGAAAATGATGGGGTGGAGAGAGGCAAGAATCTGGGTATTAGAGTAAATATAAAAAGGGATCAATTTGAATAAAACAGTTGAATTCATCATTGCCATCATTCAGCTCAGTCCCTCCCTCCATGCTCAGTTCATACTCCTCCATCCTAGTCCTTAGTAAGTTCAAATCTGAAGAATGAAATTCACAGGACAATGGAAACAAGAGTGAAAGGAACATAATTTATCTGAGTGTAAAAAATACAAACAGAACTCTCCCAGAGGCAAGAGGGTCCCCCGATAGAGGTTGCCCCTTAATAAGTTTTTATTTCATCTGAGACAACTTGACAGAGCACAAGTAATGAAAAGGAAATGCATGCATGTTCTATTTCTACTACATGGCCAGTTGCTTATATTACTGCCACTGCTGTCATGTTGTTTTTAATTTATTGTCATGGCCTAAAGAGAGTGATTTTTGAATTGCTATTCTATCAGTAAGAACTCTCATCTTAAAATAAATATTAACAAAAAGCAAAATGGCAAGCTTCAGAAAGGATCTACGTCAACTGTCCAGAAGTTGACCAACAGGGCTTTGTAGTAAGAAATAGGAAATAGGAGAGGATGCTAGATAAATATATATACCTGGCATGGTATATAACATAAAAGAATGCGCTGAGAGCTTGTCATATTCGAGAACACAGACCTTGTTTCTGCAATAATCTATGTGTGTGCTAAAAGGGTAACTCCACATGCATCAGCTCACCCTTGGGTTTTGGTTCCAGTGACTAATCTCTCTCCTCTCTCTCATAGTCCAAAGGCACCCTCCAGTGCTTCTAAATGGATATACATATGACACCAATTTATCTGGTCATGCCCCAAATTACTCCTTAGTTACTATAAGAATATCCCATTCATTTTTTTCCAAAATATTTATATATCTTCAGTTTAGTAACTGGGGATCTTTCTATTATTTGTGTTCAGATTTTTATTAATCCTGACATTTTAAAACTATTTTTAATAATTGATTGTTTGGATAGATAGGAGTTACAGATGGTCATCTATCTTAATCAGTTGCCCTTGTTTTCAAACCAGAAATCTTCCTGTGTGAAAGCATTGAATCTTCTTTTCTTCCATGTAAAATAGTAATAATAGTGTCATTTATATAGACACTTCAAAGCATAAAACTATTTCTTGTATATGAAAGTATGTGTAATATTTTGATATGTTTATATAAGACACAGGTAATATTAGCCCATCAGATTAAATTGTATTGCCAAAAAAAGTCCAGAAGAAATGAGAGTTCTATCAGAGACATTTTTTTTTCCACTTATATGGGGAAATAGAACACATTTCAGGTAATCTGAGAAACACAGTGTCCTGCATTGTTAGGGAAGCAATTCTTAATAAAGAGGATTGATGCCAATAGAAAGATGGCATGTATCTAAAAAGGGCATCTAATTTCAGAATGACTTGAGTATATTTCCTTCTTAGGGATCTATCATGATTGAAATCATGACAATTCAAGAGGAAGAATAGAATGCAATCTGAATTTTGGTGTTGAAAATATGTCACTAAACACATTACCTCCTAGAAATAGACTGAACATGAATGAAAGAGAATGTCATAATGGAACCTATAAATTGGGATAATGAACCTATAAGTTGGGATATATGTTTGTGTGGGAAGTAAATGTAGGCTAGAAGAATGGAAGTGGAAAATTTTGACCAAAGCCATATGTAAAAATGCTAATGCCCCTCTCTCTTCTGTTTTTAGGAGTCACAGATGAAAGCAATGAAAGAGACTGTGCAACTCTGTTTGACATCAGTTTTCCGTGATCAACCTCCACCTTTGAGTCTAATCACAACAAATCCAGCTCAGATGTTATTTCCAACTAGGACAATTGCTGCTAAGATTCCAGATGAAAAGACAAAAAGCAAGGTACGTTTTATCAGAGCTTTGAAAAGTAATGTCAAGTACTGGACTGTCTTTATACTACATTCTATATGATCAACAGAGTGAGCCCAAGTAAGATATTCAATTTATTTAAAGTTTAGGAAGTATATGGAAGATCGTAACCAGTTTGTAAAGTCTCTGTAGTCACAAGGAGAGGGCTGGAAGACAGATTTCCTTTAGAGAGCCTATATGTTGGGCAGGACCAAATAATTGTTAAAATTAAAACAATGAAAGCAACAAAAATAATTTTAAATAAGTTAAAAGAAATATCTTGTATTGTATTACAATAAACAACACATATTTGATGCTGTCTTTGGGGGTATACATATCACCCTGACAAAAATATTCTATTATAGGGTAAGTCCACAGCTCTCAACAGTGACTGCACGTGAGAATTTTTTAAAATCCTGATACATAGGGTCTGACCCCAGTCCTATTTTTTTCAGATAGTTTTGAACAGAACACTAGCCATCAGTAATTCTTAACAGTTTCAGGGAATTTTAATGTTCAATCAAGTTTGGGAACAATGGACTCAAGTAATCCTTTCTCTAAACTCCCCCATTGCACTACAGTAGACAGAAAGAGAACATTTCACTGCTGCCCATTTTCATCTTGAGATACCTAGCCTTCTGGGTTTTACATGTGAATAAATCCAGACAGCCTGGAATTCCTGCTGGAAGAGGAGTTTTGTTTCAAGCAATATCTTTGAAAGAGTTGTCTTCCTGATCACGTATCACTTGTTATTAAAGGAGTGCCATTGTTATCAGTCTGACTTCTAATGCAATCCCTGAACCACCCAAGGACCACTGATGCCAATACTGAGTAACATGTTACACAGGGTGTTTTCTTAATTCTCATTTCTGAGATTGCCTGTGTTTGCATTGAAGGAGATAAATGAAATTTATAGTGTAGGGATAGAGAGATAGAAATAAGTAATGCTTATTTGCTTTATTAGAAGACTTATTTGTCTTCTAATATTGTGTTTTTTTATATTACTAGTCAATGTATACCTATACAAATTTACTCTATCTAATCTTATCATGAGGTATTAATATATTATTCTGTAAAATCTTTTAAAAAATAAGTATTTCTAATCCATTCTGTTATCATCTTTCATCTCATTTTATACTGAAGGAACTCTAAAATTTTTTAAGTCAATAGGTTTCTACTTATTTTTTCTGGGCCTTTCTCTAAAAACTCTAGCTTCAAAGAATTTGCTTACTTAACTCAGATAAGAAAACTAGATAATGCTATATTGCATTATGTTTTTCATGAAAAATCCTGGGTAAATCCCTTGCAATTTATCAAATGCATAGTTACCACACAATATCATCCACCCAACAGGAAGCCACACCCTGACTCCTCCTCCTGTTTCAGTCTAAGGCAGGAGGTGAATTTGAGGCTCCTCACACCTAATGACTTGGAAAAATAGCTTTGTAATTCTGAGGGTATATTAATTTGTTTCCATTTAAAATATATTTTCTTAAGCCCAGAATTAAAACTGGGCTACTTATGACCCTCAATGTGTGAAGAATATTACTGATTGTGCCTTTAACCGATTTTCTAGGAATAAATGTTTTTTTTTCCATCATTGAAGTAAATAAATATATATTGTTTCTTTTGGCTTACCATGAAAAACAAAAGTAAGGATTTAAATGAGCCTGGTTTGGAGATTGCTCATTTCTCAAAAAAACAGTAACAGGAAAAATCCAATTATTTAAGATGAAATTCAATAAATCCAAGTTAATGTACTAGAGAATATCTTATAACATTGCATTAAAAGCTTGTCTGGGGTTTATGTTTTCCCATATTCTTTATCTTTTTAGTAGTGACAGAAATTATATTTTATGTATGTATGGGCCTTAATCTCTATACAAGCACTTCACAGGTGATATATTTTAAAATCTTTAATAATAAAATGTGTTGTGGATGTGTATTAAAAAATAGCTCTTCAGTCATGAAATGATATTTTTTTATCTCTACATACAAAAACTAACTTCTACCTAGGTAAGGCCTCCACTACGGGGCTGCATTTCCACCCTAAAGTCAGGGAAACCTTCAGAGAAGACTAATTTTATTTGTCCCTTTAAGTTGTTTGATAGCCACAACACATCATTACCCTGTGTTTCTGTTTAATCAAGTTTATTGGCTTCTTTTCCAACATTGTGTTTTCTATAGTTGTTATGTCTGCTTCTCTAATTTGAATGAATTTTTTCTTCTCTTATAACTTAGCCTTATTTTTCTCCTCTGATGGCAGGGTTTACTACCCTCCGTTTGGTCATACCTTGAATGCAGGGATTTCTGCATATACTTTTCCCTTTAAGGAAGATGATTGTGCTTTGTTTATCTATCTGCTTGACATTTTTCAGTGTCCAAAGTCTTTAGAGAATCCATTTGAAATGGCATTTATTGTATGTCCCTCTCCTTTCTAGACATTTTCTTTATTTGAAACTTAGAAGAATATAATTTACTGAGTGCTTATTAATCGCTTTGTGTTCAACTATATTGTTTTCTATCTATATACCAAGACTATGTTAATAACTGGGGAAGCAAATTTGAAATGACATGGTTCTGATCTTTTGGTGATTGCAGTCTAATTCTTTATAGAGAAATCAAAAAAATACAGTCCTGTTCTTAATAAGAGACCAGTAAATTTTTTCATTTTTATTTGTTGTTGGTATTTAGAATTCTATATTCCAAATAGTTTTGATTAAAGATAAATACTAGGTTCATAATGCACATGAGAGAATGTATTTGTAATTTCTTTGTTAAGATACAGTGTATGTTATGTGGATAATGTTTCTAAAAACTGGTAGATGGAAAGGATTAAATTATGAAATCTGATTTTCATTCTGCATAAAAGGGTCCTAACTAGAGTAGAAACAAACAAATAAGTGACAATTGGTTTCATTAATCCATGCAGCACATGGTTGTGACATGGCTATAAGACAAAAATTAACAATGGGATTCCAGACGTTATTAAGGCATAAAACTGACATGACCTAATGATTAAGAGGGGTATATGGGAGGGATTCAAGATGGTGGGCCAGAAGGAGGCAGCATTCTGTGTAGCTCTGGGACCTGGGTCTCAACTAGTAGGAACACTGCTTGTCTGAGAGTCATAGAGGACCCCTACATAGCTGCTCTCTCACAGAAATCATGGCCTCAGCATTAGAGCAGGACTCCCCAGGCCTGACACCCAGATCCCAAAGTTCTAGCCCACACAGGGTTCAAGTGCCTTAGCAGGATCACCACATCAGCACCACTGCAGAACTCCCAGACCCCACTCTGTTCCCATGTAGGACACTCATCTGCTACCCACCCACAGGAACTCCAGCTGCCACTCCTGTGTGGAATCCCATCTACCAACATAGGGCTCCCCCAAGTCAACTGTGTTTTACAAACTTGCAGCTACTGTCATAATCCTCCATGCACAGAAGTCTGCCTGCACATGGGGAAATCTCAAAAGCTCTGAAGACAGCCCAAAGCCACAATACTGAATGCCACAGAGCTCATCTTTGAACACAATGCACAACACCACTGCCCGGCTCTCCCTACCTGACACTCCAGTGCTGGAAGTGGCCCATCTCCATCTTGGGTCGCCTTCCTCACCATCTTTGGTGGGGCAGCTCCCAGATTGGAATTCCAGCTGTCCAGGTACCTGGTTTCCAACTCGCCTCTCTTCCCAGTGGCTGGTAACCTGGCACAGTAACTGCCCAACACAAAACAGCTCTCAGTGGGACAGGTGTGCAGTGCAACCAAGGTACTGCCCATGGAAGCCCAGGTGAGATAGGTCACTTAATTGGGAACTGTTAAGAGAGAGGGAGACTTTCAAAAGTGTGGAAACTAACAGAGAGACCAGAAATTGGGAAATCTTTAGGCAAGATGGGAAAATAGGACTGGGCACTCAAGTCATAAGAGTGGACCCCAAAAGAGACCCTTAAGGTGCAGTCTCCCTGCAGGGACTGGCAGGTGCCACACCTCACTTCCAAGTGTCCTGCACCAGGAAAGGCTTTCCTACCATGGTTACCTCCACCATCCTAAGGGCTGAGATACCAGCTAACAAGAGATGACCCCACCTATTGGGTAAGAAGGGAAGCAGGAAAGATAATGATATCCAACCAAAACAATTAACAATCCTGGTTTCTTCCGTTGAGATTTTTTTTTTCTTTTTCTTCTCCTCCTCTATCCTCCTGACCTCACATCCCCAACATATGTGAAACCAAGTACTTTGCATAAATTAGGATTTTTGAGGACTGGGACACCTGAATAATATATAATAATTGTGTTGTATATGCCCTTTCTTTTTCTTTTTACTCAAATTTTTACTATTTTAACATCCTTTATTTTTTGGAATACATATGTGTGTTTGTTTTATGTATCTACTGTCTTCCCATGTAGTTGTCTACCCCAAATTACTTCCTGTCCCTGCCACTAACCCTCTCCATGAGATTTCTCTTTCACACTTCCTAAGATATACAAACTCTATATCCTCACATCCTGCCTCCACAGCATATAATCCTATGCTTCACCTCCATTTCATTGTCCACCTTCAGAAAATGTAAACACTTTTACAAACTTGCTGGTTATATTATAGATAAAAATCAAATTTGAATTCAACATTTCTGTACATTGTGACCAAACTGTAAACGTTTAATAACAATGAATTGTTTATAAGTGGTATATTGTTTATATTGGGATCTGTTAATATTGTTCTTCCCCACAAAGGAGAGGTATTAGAACCCTACAGGATTACTATAGGCCTACAGGGTAAAAACAATAACACGTCAGACCTGCCAAGCTAGAAGTGAAGACACATGAGCAACATAAAAAGACAAGGGAAGAAAGTGCCCTAACCAAATCAATATACCACATATTGGAATTCATGGCCAGCACAGCAGAAGAAATGACAGAGAAGGAGTTCAGGATGTACATAATTGAAATGTTCAGTGAATTAAAGGATGATATAACACAGCAAATACATG